TGATATTTTGATTCCGCTGCAGTTGTACGCTTAGAAAAATAAAAGATTGGATGCAGTTTTCCGTCGTCTTTCTTCTGAAGTAGCACTGCCCCGAAACCAAGAGCGCTTGCATCACAATGCAATTCTATCTCGTCTTTATGATTATAAAGTGCTAAAATGGGGGCTTGCATTAGCATTTCCTTAAGCGATGAAAAGCAATTTAATTCGTCTTCACCAAATTTAAACTCTGTATCTTTTCTCAGAAGATCGTAAAGAGGTTTGGCAACAGTTGAGAAATCTTTTATAAATCTCCTGAAATAGGAGCATAAGCCAAGAAAACTTTGTACCACCTGTATCTTATTCGGGATTGGAAAGTTTTTGATTGCTTCTAATCCTTTTTCATCTGCCCTTATACCTTGTCCGTTGATTGTGAACCCCAGATATTTGATATTAGATTGTAAAAACTCACATTTGTCTATACGCAATTCTAATTTGTTTTGAGCCAACCTAATAAAGACTTCTTTTAGCGTTTCTAAGTGTTCCTGCGTATCTTTGCTGGCTACCATGATGTCGTCCATATATACAATAACTTTGTCATCCCTAATTAAATCATCGAATATTTTATTAACAAACCTCTGAAACACGGCTGATGCCGTTTTCAGTCCCTGTGGCATTCTAAGGAACTCGAATTGTCCTAAAGGTTTCACGAACGATGTATATCTAATCGATTCCTCATTAACGAATACATGGAAATAACCATTTTTGAGATCAAGTTTCGTAAAGACTCTTTTGTTGGCTAATTTGTCCAGCAGATCATCGATGAGGGGTATGGGATAGTTGTCCTTAATCAAGGTCTTGTTGAGTTTTCTAAAGTCTATACACAACCTTAAGTCCCCCGTTTTCTTTTTGACTAGTACGATAGGTGAAGCGTATTCAGACTCGCTGGGTCGTATTATTCCTTTTCTTAAATATTCATCTAAAAATGTTTGCAGTTTATCTTTCTCGGTATATGATAGGCGCCTTGGAGCACAACTAAAAGGTTTTGATTTCTCTAAGTTAAGTTTTATCTCGCATTTGACTAAAGGTTCTTTTGGTTTTACCGTCTTTACGTAATAGTCTTCGATTATTTGCCTTAGTTGACACTTAAGCCTATGACTTATGTTCTCCCCGCAGATGTAATCAACTTTTTCATCTTCCATATAATTGATATTAAAGATGTCTGGAACAATAATATCATTGTATGTGTCATCAGCTTTGCTGTTAAGGATTTCATTCATAACCATCGCATCGTTATTTATCGAATTGACTGTTTTCTTTTTAGAATTTTTTGGTCTGGTAGAATCGCTAAACGCTTCAGCAAACATTTCATTAGTTACTCCTGTTTCTCTAACAACGTTACTAACGGTTTTACTAACAATTTCGTTTACCTCTTTACTAATAGTATCACTTACAATTTCACTAACTCCTTCACTAACGGTTTCACTAACAATTGCACTAACTTCCTCACTAACGGTATCACTAACAATTTCATTACCATTATCTATTTTGATTACCTCATCTATAACTATTTTATCTGAATTTTCTCTACTCTTTGTACTACTTATTATACTAGTATGTTTTCCAACCGTTTTGATTTGCATTTTATCATTTTCAATCGGAATTGCTGGATTTTCACTAAATGATCATTGGCTTCCGAATTCAAAGCGTCTAACGTAACCATTTTTAAAGTACTTAAGTCCAAGTTTAAGTCGCATGCATTCATAAAATTTCTGCCAAGAACCACACCATGACTCATAGACTCGTTCGACACTACGTTCAAATAAAAATAGCATTTTATTCTTCCTTTCAAAACATAACATATGTAGTCTGGGCAGCAATTCACAACGCGTGCTTTCTCGTCTCTGCTCGATCCAAAACTGATCTCGCTCTCATTTTATTCTTCTCCTTTTCTCCTTCGTATTCTTTGCGCTCTCTTTACATTGAGAGTGTCTCTATATGTGTTGGTGCTGAGAACACGATTACAGTGGGCTTAATGGCTAGTATTAAATGTATGTACAGTGGTATTAGGGGATAGTACTGCTACAATTCGGCCTATCCTGACAGTGAGGATCTCCTGATTCTCTTTGCCATGTTTCTTGTTATTATGCTGCTCTCAGCCATTTTTCTAACATTTTTCTTTCTTACATTTTTTCTTTGCATTTCGCTTGCTATGATCTTATTCCTTGAATCAGTTACATCCTCTTCATTCTTATTTAAATTGCTTTCGTGTTCATTTACATTTTCATTTTCTAATTTAGTATTTACATTTTGTTCATTATTTACATCTTCTTCATCATCTAATTCATTATTTACATTTTCTTCATCATCTAATTCATTATTTACATTTTCTTCATCATTTAATTCATTGTTTACATTTTCTTCATCATCTAATTCATTATTTACATTTTCTTCATCATCTAATTCATTATTTACATTTTCTTCATCATCTAATTCATTATTTACATTTTCTTCATCATTTAATTCATTATTTACATTTTCTTCATCATTTAATTCATTATTTACATTTTCTTCATCATTTAACTCATTGCTTACATTTTCTTCATCATTTAACTCTTTGTTTACATTTTGATCATAAACCCATGGTTTAATATTGTGGACAGCCCATATTCCTGAATAGGGGATTTGAGTTTGTTGGAATCCTTCTATATCTTGCACAACATACCTATCGTTATCTAAAACTTTTGAAATTCTATACGGTCCCTTGAACTTTGGAGCTAGTTTACTGGACGTTCCTGGTTGTGAGTTGAAATTTCTAATCATAATATAATCATCAATAGAATATAGTCTGGGTCTCTGTCGCTTTGTATCAACGTAACTTTTATTGTACTCTTGAACTTTCTGTTGAACTATTGCTGCTTTGCATCTTGTATACTCTAAGTCTCTTTGGTCGCTACTTTGATTTTCTTCGACTATGTTTTCTTTTAAACTATCTATACTATTGCCCTTTTGTAATACACCAAAGAGCATTACGCTCGGGTATTCGTCTATGCTTCTATTTTTTGTGTTATTCATTGCAAACTCCACTTTGTCCAAAACTTTATGCCATTGCTCATTTTTTTCTACGTCTCGAATCTTGGCAATCATTGGTCCTAAATCTCTATTAATTCTTTCCACTTGCCCGTTAGCTTGCGGAGACCCTGTTGCTATTTTTATGTGATTGATGTTCTGTGATTCTATGAAAGATTGAAATTCGTGGGAGGATAAGCAAGAGCCTCTGTCGGAAACTAGGTGCTTAGGGCGACTGTACGCTTTAAAATAATTTTGCAAAGCATCTATTGCTTCTTTTGAACTTGTTGTTAAAGTAGGATAAAGGCTTATGAATTTTGTGCAGGCATCTATAACCAATAGTATGTGCTTTTTCTTAGATTCACTACTCTTGATGGGACCATAGTGGTCAATGTGGATGACATTGAACGGCGTTGTACCTTTGGGTATTGAGTGTAGATATCCTTCTTTTTTTCCGGTTTTAGATGAAAAGGCTATACACTTCACACAATTCTTGATATGTACATCGACTTTTTTTCTTATTTGCGGAAACCAATAGCTTTTGTTTATTAAATCTGTTACTTTGTCAACACCTACATGTCCCATTTCATCGTGATACTTGTATAAAACACTTTCGATCATTGACTCTGGTACACAAAATAAGAGTCCTTCGTTGTGCTTTTTATAAATTACACCGTTGCGCATTTCATAATATTCATTTTCCCTTTCTAATAACATGTCTTTGACTTTTCTTAACTTTTCATCTCTACTTTGTGATATTATTAAATTATCTTCGAAAGTATTTGTTTCTAATATTAAAATATTATTGTTACGACTGAGTGCATCTACATGCTGCATCCTTTTTCCAGATCTGTGTTCGAGATCAAAATCATAATTTTGCAATTCGAGTGCCCATCTCGCTATACGAGGGTTTAGCTCTTTTTTATTTAACGTTAATGTTAATGAATTACAGTCGGTCACTATTTTGAATTTAATACCTTGTAGATAGACACGAAATCTTTTGAGTGCGTTTATGATCGCTAATGTTTCTAGCTCGAAGCTATGATATCTCGACTCGACATCTGTAGTTCTCTTGGAGAAGTAAAATATTGGATGGAATTTACTATCATTCTTTCTTTGAAGAAGAATGGCTCCATAACCTAAAGAGCTTGCATCACAGTGCAGCTCGGTTTCGTCGTGTGGATTATAAATTGCTAAAATCGGAGTTTCTATCAGCTTATTTTTTAGCGCTTGAAATGCTTCTATCTCTACTTCTCCAAACTCAAATTTTTTATCCTTTCTTGTTGCATCATATAATGGCTTTGCTATTAATGCGAAATCTTTGATGAACCTCCTAAAGTAAGAACATAGACCAATGAAGCTTTGAATTTCGTGCACTTTTTTGGGTACCGGGAAACTATTTATGGCGTCTATGCCCGTCTCATTTGCACATATGCCATTTCCTGTTACTGTATACCCTAGATAGTTTACAGACGATTGCAAAAATTCGCATTTATCAAGTCGAAGATTTAAACTGTTGTCTACTACTCTTTTAAAAACTTCTTTAAGTATCTTAAAGTGGGTGTTGATATCTTCTGAAGCAATCATTATGTCATCTAAATAAATGATTACTCTACCATCTTTGACCATATCAGAAAAAATTTTATTTATGTATCTTTGAAACGTAGGAGATGCATTCTTTAGCCCAAATGGCATTCTTGTGTATTCAAATTGTCCTAAAGGCGTTGTAAACGAGGTGTATTTGATAGAATCCTCATGCATGAATACATGATGAAACCCATTTTTTAGATCTAGTTTGGAAAATAACTTCTTGTTCGCTAACCTTTCTAACAGATCATCTATCAGGGGGATTGGATAGTTGTCTTTTATAGTTACTTTGTTCAGCCTACGATAATCTACACATAATCTTAGCTCACCAGTCTTCTTTTTAATTAAAACTATTGGTGATACGAACTCTGATTCGCTGGGACGTATATAACCTAATTCTAGGTTTTCATCTAGAATTTTTTGTACTTCTGTTTTTTCCATGTATGATAATCTCCGTGGTGGACAATTGAATGGTTTATCACTCTCTACCGTGATTTTCATTACAGTTTTTACTTTGGGTTCTAGTGATCTATTGGCTAGCAAATATTGTTCTTCGAAGATACGTTTGAATTGTTCTCTTACTTTATAATTAATTTCTTCCCCCACCTTGAAAGTAGCGTTGCCTTCTTGCACAACATTGATGGCTAACATTTCTTTATCAAAATCGTTTGGCTCGCCTTCTACGTTGACGTCTATGTTTTCTTTGCCTTGTATATGTACATTGTTTTTAAAAGGATTCGATTTCACTACTTCTGGCTTTGAATTTGTAATATTAATTTTATTGTTTGACTTAACTTTGTGATAGCTCGCTACGTTGATTTTTTCTTTTGGCTCCACTATTTCCGCTACTATTGACTCTACTTTTGGCTCTACTACTTCCGCTACTATTGACTCTACTTTTGGCTCTACTTTTGACTCTTCTGTTGAGACTTTACGTTGTCTTATACTCTTTGTTGTTTCTGTGATGCCTACCCTTACAGGCTGTTCATAGTTATCATACCATTTTACATCGATCAATCTGGTCTTAGTATCGTTCACTGAAATTAATTGTAAATTGCATAGCTCTAAGAAATCTCTACCTAGTACCATATTGTACCTTGTAGACTCATTGTTCACGACCATTGTTTCAATATTAACAGTTTTATTTGAAGTTATAATGTTACAAAATATTTTTCCAAAAATGACTAATTTACTATTATTTATTCCAACATAATCTTCATGGTCTTCAGTGTTACGAATTTTAAGTCCTTCAGGAACTATTGATTGTTTAACAAATGAGATCGGACTTCCCGAGTCTAGAAGGCACTCTATGTAATATACTTTGTCAGAAAAATGAGGAAATCTTATATTATAATATCTTACGTAATCGTTTTTAGTTTCTTTGATGTTCTTCTTATACAGCTTGCAATCTCTGGCCACATGCCCGTATTCACCACAGGCATAGCAAGCTCCATCTGGGCGTACAGGCTTGCGGCATTCGGCTGCGGAATGGCCCAAGCTATGGCAATTGTAACATTTCATGGCCTGTGACGATGTAGTTGTGGTCCCTGGTTGGCTTACATCTGACTTGGGTCCTGTGTAGTTCTTAACGTCAGCCAAGAAAGGACGCATCTTGGTGGGTGGTGGACGAGGTCTGTTCAGGTGCTGGAAAGCCATAAGCATAGCCTCTGTCGAGACAAAACATTGAAGCAATGCTTGATTGCGTAACTGTTGATCCGGGATTCCATCAATCAAGTATTGTATGGTCTCAGCGTCGTTCATATTTAGATCTTTGGCAAGTAGCAACTTTTCGTGATAGTACACCACGAACTTTTCATCAAATATCCATTTTCGTTGTTCAAACTTGCGACGAGTTTCCAGAATGTTGTCCTTGTTTCCAAACATGACACGAAGTTGATGTAGAATTTGATCAATGCCCGCGGAGAGAGGCGAGTAGTTTGCGAAGAACCAAGCACTGGCTTTGCCTTTAATGCGTGCGCAAATGAGTGAGCGCATAATGTCATCTTCAACTTTGAAAATGGCTTGAACATTTTTTATGCAGGTTAGCCAAACATCAATATCACCTTCGCCATTGAACTCAGGAACGCATTCTTTTATTACATTAAATGGGACAGCTGATTTTTTGCGCAGCTGTTCGTTTTCGTGTTGCAGGTTTTCGATGGTTTGTTCTAGTGTTGCAAAATTACTATTTATCGGAGTGGGGCTGGAGCTGCCAACTTCTATTAATGTTCCGATTTCTTCTTTGTTGTCTTTTTCGAATACCAACGACATCTTTTTTGTGGTCTGCACTATTGCTTCAATCGGCGTTTCTTCTTTCCTCAACGTTTCGTTGTGTGCGTCGAACTCAACGAGCAGGTCAGTATATCCGTCCTTGTCTGATACACTGCTAGCTGAAGCTGTGGGTACAGTGCCGTTGTCGGAGTCTCCAGAAATTTCGCCAGTGCCTTTTAATGCGTAGTTGATTTCGTTATTTTCTTTGTGTTTTGGAATTGCGCCTTGATTGTCGATTATTGGTCCAGGTCCACGCTCAAATGCAGGAATTTCATTCAGCATTGCAATCAAGCTGGCCTTACTACCCTCTGTGGGCAGATTTAATCGAGCACACCAAGTCTTCAATCCGATAAGTGTATAGTTGTTGATGTCGAGATTATCCATTTTTATTGTTTTAGTCAGTAGCTTTTAATTGAGTGGGAGTTCTAACTTTAGTGGGCTTCTGAACCACTTCTGAAATTGTAGTCTGGGCAGCAATTCACAACGCGTGCTTTCTCGTCTCTGCTCGATCCAAAACTGATCTCGCTCTCATTTTATTCTTCTCCTTTTCTCCTTCGTATTCTTTGCGCTCTCTTTACATTGAGAGTGTCTCTATATGTGTTGGTGCTGAGAACACGATTACAGTGGGCTTAATGGCTAGTATTAAATGTATGTACAGTGGTATTAGGGGATAGTACTGCTACACATAAAATTTTTCCAAGTGTTTTTAATTGGCTTTTATTAAGCCCAATATATAATTCCAAAACTGGTTCCAAACGAATTTCTCTAGAGATTAAACTTTTCTTGATGAACGATATGGGACTGCCAGAGTCTATGAGGCACGCTGAAATTAATGGTGTTACGATATTGTTGCAAAAGAAAATCTTACAGTATCTTACATAATTATTGTATGTTACGCTCTTCCTCTCCGGGCATTGTCCGACCAGATGTCCAAATACCCCACAGGCGTAGCAGGATCCAGGCTCCCTTTTTAGTTTGAGACAGTCCTTGGCGAAATGACCTCGCGAGTTGCAGTTGGCGCAACGTAGGTCCTTGGTCGCCGAAGAATTTGCCAGGCCTTGTGATGATGTGGCATGCTGCATACGCTCCGGAAGGCGAATCTCCGAAAAAGCACGCCAAATCTGCTTCGGATCGGAGAAGCACTGAATGCGAGCCTGATCTCGCAAGCCCGGGGACGGAATTCCCTCGATTATCTTCTCTTTCAATTCTTCTGTGTCTATGTTGATGTTCCTGGCCAACATCATTTTTTCTTCGTAGTATGTGGCAAAATTTTCTCCATAAAGCCATTGGCGCTTATGGAACCTGTCTCTGAGTTCTCCTTTGGTGATGGTTGCCGAATGCCACGATCAATTGCTCGCACAGGTGATCAGCTGATTCCAAGATGCGCGAGGAATCTGCATGGAGCCAGCGCTGAGCGTTTCCTTTGAGCTTGGCAATCAGCAGCATTCGTTTAGTAATGTTGTCCAGTTTGTAGATTTGGGCAATGTTCTTCACCTGTATGACCCAGTTTTTGGCGCACTGTGTCCCGTCGTATTCCATAGTCACTTCCTTTGCTAACGTAAGCGATGCTGTCGGAGATTCGCATATGTTGTTTACATTTGTGTCTTGACGTTTTGCAACACCGTCTGAATTGTCGTCTTTTCCATTACTGCTGTCAGGGCCGCTATTAACATTGGTGCTGTTAGCGCAAACGGTGTTGTTAACTTCGGGGCTGTTAACTGTAGCACTGTTATCGTTGTCGCTGTTAACTGAGTCGTTGTCTTCGTCGATGACGTCATTGGATTGGCCGACGTGAACGATCTTGTTTATTTCGTCATGGATTTGCCGCAGCATGTTTTTTCTTGCTTCAATGTCTGCGCGCAATTTCATCAGAGCGACGTAATCGGCTTCCACCGTGCTCCACTGTCCCATGCTTGGAATATTTTTCTCCTGCATGCCTCGAGTTGATGGTGCTGCCTCTTCCTCGACCGACGACGCTAAAACTGGTGCTTCGCCTGCCGCCTGTTGATGTTCCACTTGGTCGATCGAACCTTCTGGTGGGTCGCCGCGTGCGTTTGGTGAAATTGCGCTTACGCTTGCGATCAGTTCGGCTTTGGAGCCTTGAGTTGGTAGCCCAAGTCCAGCCAGCCACCTTTTTAGTTGCGCTGACGAGAATTGATTTGGTTCGAAGTCGCACATTGTGAGTAAGGCCCACTTCTGAGATTGTGAGAGTAAAACAGGGGTATGCACTTTTGTATCTCTTTATTACGCCGCACACGTCTTATTTTTCTTAATGCCTCTTTTCGAATGCCCGAGCGTCTTTTCTGGAGGCCGTATATTCCGTCTTTTTTCTAGTGTGACCTTATATTTAGGGGTTATTCATATGCGATAGTGCTGCCGTATGGGCAGTGGGTTAATCTTATAGAGAGGGGCTGATAGGGGTTATCCTACCACAAAACTAAACCTAACATAAACATATCAAAAAAAAAAGTTCTGCCATTGAAAAAAATAAAATATCATCCAACCATTTCTAAGCCCCAAATCTTTAAGAAAAAGTTCGTTTTGTTCCGTGAGGAAAAATCGTGTTGACTAGTGTAATTAATTGATGTGGTCATGGCTGTGTTGAAAATGTGAGTAACTTGCATGATGATTCTAGGGAGTATTATTTTCAAAAATTTCGGGTTCATATCGTCTAGGCCAATAGCATTTGATTTAATTTTAAGAATGGATTTTAGAACATCACAAGGACTAACACAATAGAAACTAAAGCTAGGAACAGTATAATTATAGGGCGCTGATGTCAAGTTCAGGGTTGGTGGTGGGTCCGGTACAACTAATTGCAACAATTTTTTGCTAACTTCATTTACGTCCATGTCAACTTTCTTGTTTTGATACCCGTACTCAAAAAAGAGTTAAGGGGTATATTAGATTTGTGGTAAAAGTGGATGTGTGCAACGCAGAGAAGGAAACGTTTCCGACCCCATAAAGTATATATATTCTTGATCAGCATCAATAGCCGAGTCGATAGAGCCATGTCCGTCTGTCCGTCCGTCCGTCTGTCCGTCTTGATGAGCGCCTAGATCTCAGAGACTATAGGAGCTAGAGAAACCAAATTTGGTTTCCAGACTCATGTGATATCACACTGCTACAAGTGTATTTCAAAATTTCGCCCCGCCCCCTTTCGCCCCCAAAAAGGACGAAAATCTGTGGCAGGCACATTTTTAAAGATACGATAAAACTAAAAACGCAGTAACGTAGAGAATGACCATATCTACCAGATTGCCGAATCTGAACTAGATCGGATCATAATTATAGCCAGAATGAAGAAATTAACGAGATGGAACGTTTGAGTAGCTTCTGGGACGCGACTCTACTTATACCCGTACTCAGTCAGTATAGAATTAGAATTTAAAATTTTAGAATAAAAAAAAAATTTAGCATTTTACATTTTTTTGCTACATCTGTTATCTACATCTACTTTGTATATTCTACATCTTACATGTAGATTATACATGTACCATTTAGATTCTACATCTCCACCGCTACAGGGCGCTCGCGTACATAACAAGGCAGAGTGTGCGAGAAATAGAATGTCTAGTCTAGAGTTTTATAAGCAAATTACGGGGCAAGGCCTTGCCTTGCAAGGTTGCGAAATGGGTTCGTTCATAAAATCCCTGTAAAATGGCGCCTTGAAACTTTAATTGGAGTTAAGGCACAACACTGATATTTTTGTTTTCAACCCAAATGGAAAATAATTGGAGAAAGAAATTAACTCAAATGACATTTCTCTAAAGCAGGAAGAATGAATTTCACCATAGTATTGAAAGACTTAAGACTAATGCTAAGCTACATTTCATATCGTATAGGAATGTACATAGTCGTAGTGCTATAATCGACAGAAACGGCAGAAATAATAATACCGAATCATGTGCCCCTGGATATGGATGTGCATCTACCTTTGTGTGTGCCCCTATATGTGTAATTTCATGTAGTAAAAAGTTAAAAAGCAGCGCTGGAGGGTTTTTTTTTATGCATAAGGAAAAAAACGGCGTGCTTGTATGTTTGAACATGTAAATATACTGTCGTCGGATAAAACTTTCTTCTATGCATCACAAACTTCTATTCAAAATCGTGCCTCCCATAGCAAAAGCATAACCATAAAAATTCCACAATGCAAGTCTTTGCATTAAGAAAATTTGGTTTTTCTCTTTGCTCCATCATTTTCTGCTAGTCTTTTTATGTGTGTGTGAATTTTAAGGAAATCTTTTTGCGTCGAGGCTGGACCCGATGCGTACGTTATTTGTTCGTGTCAGTAGATATTTATGCAGCCTAATGCATTTTGGCGTAAAGAAGCTTAAAAGATTTCGTACCATGTTCGGGGTTGGTTCCGTTGGTTTCTAGTTAAATATTGAAAGAAAACCAAAGTAATATTATCGTACTCTCCTAAATGGTATTTGTCAATTGAATTATGTTGATTTAATTGGCTCTACTCTTTTGTAAACTAACTTAGATTTGTACTGCCATTGAAGGCTCTTGAAGTAAACTTTCACTTGGGAATTCTGTATTAAATATAAAACAAATTTGATTTAGCCATTCAGTTTGGCCTCCACCTCTGCCACATTTTCTGTACCACGTTGTCATAACAACGAAAGTTTTCTGGCCTTCTCCCATCTTTTCTTTGAACAAAGGTTTACAAAATCGAAAAAATACACAGACACAAAAGTAACTACAGTTTCGCTGCAGTTGGCCGAATTTCATCGGGCTTATACATACAGGCATGCTCCGGCTTAAAAACGTAAGACTTTTCCGTTTTCAAAACGGCAACAAATTCCTCACCGAAATTAAAAGAAAACGGCTTTTTATACAACTTAACAATTCTTAATTGAAAAAGGAAAAAAATAGATGACTTAATGATGCATTGACTTGAATTTGCCTTCATTACCAGTGCAATTGAGATTGTGCCCTTTTTATACCCGTACTCAAAAAAGAGTTAAGGGGTATATTAGATTTGTGGTAAAAGTGGATGTGTGTAACGCAGAGAAGGAAACGTTTCCGACCCCATAAAGTATATATATTCTTGATCAGCATCAATAGCCGAGTCGATAGAGCCATGTCTGTCTGTCCGTCTGTCCGTCTTGTTTGACGCCTGGATCTCAGAGACTATAAGAGCTAGGGTAACCAAATTTGGTTTCAAGACTCATGTGATATCACTGCTGCAAGTGTATTTCAAAATTTCGCCCCGCCCCCTACCGCCCCCACAAAGGACGAAAATCTGTGGCAGCCACAATTTTAAAGATACGATAAAACGCAGTATAGTAGAGAATGCCCATATCTACCAGACTGCCGAATCTGAATCAGATCGGATCATAATTATAGCCAGAATGACGAAATTAATTTTCAGTTGCTTCCCCTTCCCCCTCCGACAAACGACAACGCAACTCATTCTCCTTCTCGCTCGCACACTCTGCCGCGTTCAGTGCGCGAGCAACCCCTAGCGGAGGAGATGTAGAATATGAATGGTACATCTCGAATCTACATGTTAGATGTAAAATATACATTGTAGATGTAGATGTAGATAAAAGATGTAGCAAAAAAATGTAAAATATAATATTTTTTTTTTTCCTAAAATTCTAAAAAATCATAAGCACAAAAATGTAAAACTGACTGAGTACGGGTATAGTAGAGTGGCGTCCCCAG